CGCCTTGGCATTTGGCATGCTTAGTTGGGGACATTTAATATTCAACAATATTACTGATCTGTGTTGTATTATTTTCATGTTATCACTGTGAAGCTGCTTTGATTCAATCTATATTGTAAAAAGCGCTATATAAATAAAGGTAACTTGACTTGACTTTAAATTTACACATTAATTGGTTGTGGTGGTTAACCTGAAATTTACACAGCTCCGATGTATAGTTCAAAATAACTTTTCTGGTAACAAGCTACTGTTTCCAATGATTAGTGGTGTAGCGCAAAGATCACTGTTTTTAATGTCACATTAAAATAATAATAACACTAAATAATAATAATAATAATAAATAAATAATACTTTACTGCAGAGTGAGTGGAGGTTAACAACTGTCAGCTCTGTTATGTATGTAGGCTGGCGCTGGTCAAATTAATTCTGTCTTCCTTCTCTCATACGATGTAAAGTCATTTCAGTGAATCAATCAGTCCTAAATGTCTCTTTCTTTCTAATAAACAGTATTAAAAAGTCTGATTCATATAGTATAAATGTATCTTTAAGTTTGATGTTGTCAACCTCATTGATATTGTTCATTCAAAAAACAATACTGATATAATAATAAATTATAATATAATAGAAGCATTGAAGTCCACTCTATTGCACCAAGATCCACCCACTTGGAGATTTCTGGTCTCGCCACTGAAACCTTATGACACTTTCACTTCACTTGTGTTTATATTCATAGTCACGGTCATTGTGGCCCTATTTATGCATTTGATAGACACTTTTATCCAAAGCAGCTTACACTGATTTGAAGGTTAACTGATTAACACGTTCCCTTGGAATCGACCATGACTTTAGCAACGGCATGCTCAACTGTACTTGCACAAAAACTACAAACTGGAACAGAGATCACACAAGTAAACAAGGCAGAACAGGTGAGGAAAATGATCCAGAATAGACAGAAATGGAAGGATCTAGAAATTAGACTAAAACAAGAATGATTGGCAAGGAAAACAAAACCAAAGAGATAGGAGCATAATACAACCAGGGGACAAAGACAGTACTATCAGGACTGACAGAATCATAAGAGTTTCTGGTAACACTTTATTTTAGGGTGTCATTGTTACATTATGTTCCATGTAGTAATAACAGTAAATGATGCATAATTACATGCAACTAACCCTCAATCAAACCCTAATCCTACCCTAACCCTAAAGGTAAGTACATGTTATTACTTAATATGACTCAGTACTTAAATGAATAATTACACTGTAACAATGACACCCTAAAATAAAGTGTAACTAAGTTTCGTTATTGATATTAAAGTAATTTCATGATATCCAAGAGCAAAAACTTTGAGTTCATGCGTGTTAATGATGCAGCTGACTGTGGCACACTTGGACACTTACCATTTGGAAAGAAGGTTCTGGATCAACAGAGCAGTAATGTCCAATTACAGTTTCTCTTCAGGAAAAACCAAAATGGAAAACATTTAGTTTCTGTTTCAATGGTTTTCTTTTTGCATGTATTGCAGGTCTCTGCTGGCAGGCAAAAGCAGCGGGAGGGACGGTCCCGGTGGAGAGAAGGCAGTTCTGTAGCTGGCCGTGTAAGTGTGGTGTTCGGCAGCCATGCGCCCTGGTGTCAGCTCCATCTTGGACGGCTGCGGCTGCTGCAAAACCTGTGCACGGCAGATTGGGGAATCATGCAACGAGAGGGACGTCTGTGACCCTCACAAGAGCATGTACTGTGACTTTTCCAAAGACCAGCCACGTTATGAGGTTGGCATCTGTGCTTGTGAGTGAACGTTTTATGGAAAACCCTGTTTGGTTATTACAACATCACAGAATCTCTAAACTTACTTGTTAAATTTAAATGTTTTCAGAGAATAAAGCTGCGTAATACAGAGCCCCACACATGATATTTGGGGAAAAAATACTGTGGCCTCGAATTAAGAATTCATTCCCCTGACTAAGTGACCACATTCCGTTGATTTGTAAATCCTGGCGAAGGAATAGTTAACTTCATCATTAAAATTTACTCACCCCCATGTTATCCAAGATGTTGGTCTTTCTTCAGTCAAAAAGAAATGAAGGTTTTCGAGGAAAACATTTCAGGATTTTTCTCCATATAGTGGACTTCCAACGGGTTGAAGGTCCAAATAGCAGTTTCAGTGCAGCTTCAAAGGCTCTGCACGATCTCAGCTGAGGAATAAGGGTCTTATCTAGCCAAACATCGGCCATTTTCTAAAAAAAAAAACGTATCTATATCATATATATATATATATATATTACACTTTTTAAGCACAAATAGCTGTGATGCGCCACACGTAATCACGTTGAAAGGTCAAGCGTGATGTAGGCGGAAGTACAGACCTAGTGTTAACAAAACAAACATGCAAAGATAGTCAAATGCCATTTACTAAAAATATAAATAAATAAAAGGTAAAACAATGATGTCGGATGATTTTGAAGTTGAAGGAGAAAATGAGATGGAGTTTTTCGTCCTATATTTTCCGGCGACGTCACGCGTGACCTGTCCATCGTGATTACATAATGTGTGAACTCGTGGACATACAAGCCAAGCATTTGTGGTTAAAAACTATTTTTATTTTGTTAGAAAATAACCCTTATTCCTCGCCTGGGATCGTGTAGAGCCTTTAAAGCTGCACTGAAACTGAAATTTGGACCTTCAAACTACTGTACCCCATTGGAATCCATTATATGGAGAAAAATCCAGGAATGTTTTCCTCAAAAACCTTACTTTCTTTTTGACTGAAGAAAGAAAGACACGAACATCTTGGATGACATGGGGGTGAGTAAATTATATGGAAATTTTAATTCTTAAGTGAACTGAACCTTTAATTCATTCCCATTTTTCATGGCCACAATTTATATAAAATGAGGGAACAAACTAAAACAAGGAATTACGTTTATAAGAATTAATTTTAGTAGACCTAAATTTGCTTTTTGTACTCCATAGTCTATCCTGTCAACATGACATCATGACTTTTGCGTAAACATACACGCCACTTTCGAGTCAGGTGGTGTGTTATCTCTACGCATTTTGAGTTATCCGCGTGTATCCGCGTGTATGCGTTTATGTCTACGCCATTAACGTCTGCGTCATTCCGTGTGTCTGTACACGCAGTCAAATCTCCAGTCATAAATGCCATTAACCCCAGTGACGGTTAAGTTTAGGGATGGGGTTGAGGTAAGTCATATCTTTTTTTTACCTATAAGGGAACAGTCATAAATGGCATTAACCCCAGTGACGGTTAGGTTTAGGGACAGGGTTGAGGTAAGTCATATATTTATATAACGTTAAGTCAACGGCGTTCATAAACACGCTGAAAGGCGATTATGCGTCTTGATAGCACGCCAAAAATGGAAATACGAATTGGCGTGGCATACACACGCTACTTCATGAGTCAGTCTGATCCTGTATATTTTTGCAGACATGATGGGGGTTGGTTGCGACCTGAATGGGGCTACTATGATAACGGACAGGCTTTTCAGCCCAACCCTCTCTACAAATGCACTTGCATCGCTGGAGCCATCGGCTGTACCCCTGCCTTCATCCAAAAGCCGGCAGGAATGTTGAGTCCTGCTGTGCTCCAGGGAAACTTGCCAGCAGGACTCAAGAGTAATCAAAGCCCCAAACACCAACAGGACACCACCTACAGGACCATGTCAGGTAAATGTGATCCTGTGTGTGGAGATATTAAAGAAAAAAAAAAAAGAAAAAAAAAAACATCTATTGGTTAATATTATTATTCACCACCCACACAGTTTATTACATGAGCAGAAAAAAAAAGTTTTTAAAGGGGTGAAGAGGGTTATTACATTTTGATGAAAGGTTATGACAATAACACGACCCGAGATATTAAGACGGAAATATCCTGCAATCTCTTCAGGCATATGCCTACAATCTCTAGACCTTAGTCTGTGGATCTAGAGAAAATTCTCTCCAAGAATTCTCGGAATTCAGGAAAAACAATATGACTAGTTTCATACATTGGGTTTTGATGGCGCAGTGGGTATGACACATGCCTTTGGTGTGAGAGACCCAAATTCGAATCCACTGTGAGACACCAATGTGTCCCTGAGCAAGACACTTAACCCCTAGTTGCTCCAGAGGCGTGCAACCCCTGACATATATAGCAATTGTAAGCCACTTTGGATAAAGGCGTCAGCTAAATGAATAAATGTAAATGTAAATTAATCCCCACGGAGTTTGTTTGTGCCACATGTTGAGGTCAGGGATGGAAATTAACTTTTTTGTCCACCGGCGGCCACTGTGGCTGGTGGATTTCAAAATCTACCAGCCACTCAATGTTTTTTACCAGCAACTTTTTCTTGTTTTTAACTAACACAGTCTCATCCCAAAAAGTCATATAACTGACGTCTTGGGACGTCTTTTGACCATACGTCAATATCCGCCTTTTTAGGGCCCCCTTAAACGTTGGTAGATGGCGATCCCGGGCCGTCATACAACTGACGCTTTACCTTTAACGTCAGTTAGGTGACGGGTTAGGTTTAGGTCTGGGGTAGAGTTAGGATCCCATAACCTCATCTACCGACGTTTAAGGGGGCCCTAAAAAGGCGAATATTGACGTATGGTCAAAAGACGTCCCAAAACGTCAGTTATATGACGTCTTGGGATGAGACCGGGTTGTTTTAACAGACAATGTGTAACTGCAAGTGAAAATTAATACTACAAGATCTACGATACTTAACCAGTTTATTTAATCTCAAGTCTCAATCAAATACTGACATTTTCTCTTTCTCTCTTATACGCACATAAACCATGAACTGATATACATTTCGTTAAATTAGTAGGGCAGATTAAACAAAACTAAACCGCACTCTATGCTGGTGGTTGCTCTCTCTGCAAGAGTACCGTAAAACTTCAAATAATAGCAAAATCCCTGACTCTTTTACACACCTGGTGTGGTGACAGGTTTGGGTAAATAAAGGCTTTTTTAGATTCAGGTTGAATTTAAGCTTCAAAAACCCGTCAGATTGTCTGCTTTTTGGTGCCGCCAAAGCCTTTTCTGATCGGTGAGTGATGTTGATTGTTGAATCGAATGACTGGTGCGCTTGAAAGGGCGCAAGAGAGAGAAAGAGAGAGCCCCGGCTACGCACCGTCTCATCTTAAAACAACACGAGCGCTGTCTTGCTCTCTCTCCCTCATATTAATAGTAATCAAAATCAATTGACACGATAGTAAAAGGTCAGAAGACCGCAGTTTCACATGGAACATTTGGGGATTTTTAGTGATTAGAGACTCTAGGAACGACATCTCAACACTAAACTATAAAGGCCTGTCTCAAATACAAGCCGGTGCAGTTCGAAGATTTGGGAAAATAAAACCTGTTCTGTCATATTTACATCATGCGCTCGCGTCTAGCTCCCATCTCTCACGCTCAAGCCTCGACGGAAGAAGCATGCGGGTAGATGTTCACGCGGCTAGCTCTACACCATGCGCTCGCGGCTAGCTCTCCCTTTGGACACCAAACAGCCTCTCGCGCTCCCAAGTTTTCTTCCCTCATCGAGCCTTGACCAAGGGGCAACCTCCCCGTCTCTCTCTTGAAGCCAACACGGAAGTGAATTAAACTGAAATTTATCGAGTGGCCGCATGAGACTGGCTGCAAAAGTATCTCCCTCAAGTTAAAATGTCTAACTTCACAGCAGAAAAAAAAACATGTTTACAGCCTGGTGGCGAATAGTTGTTTGGTCTATATCGCTAATTTTGCCCTTCATTATGACTGTGAGGGGGTGAATTTTTTTACAACTCATCTGTTTAAATTATATTTAAGCCTTAAAGTTCTGCATAATTAAGGGCGTGGCCACTTGAGTGACGGGTGGATTCTTGCCGCCGCTTTTCAATGCTAGTGTGTCTCTTAGCGTCACCCTCAGCTGTGTTTGTGCTTTTTACGAGATTATTTCATACAATTTAATACATGTATTATACCTTTGCCCGTGCACGCCGTTGGATTCCGTCGTGTTGAGCATGGAGAGAACGACCAGCGCTGTGTTTCCAGCTGTTTCCCTCACATGCACTAATGGATGTCTGATGATTTCAGTGCTTTCTCTCCATCCATGCAATAGATGCACACCCTTGAATGAGCGGGGGTTTCTAGTTCATATACTTGAACTTCTGAGGTAATATCTTTGGTTTGACCCATCTGAGAAACTGAGAGGCGGCCAAAATCAGATTGTAAAATGGACTGAATAAAGCTCTTTACGAACTTGACGTGAGATGCCGACTGACATGTGCTTGCGTTGAATCACCGTCACATCCACAAGCTTAGAGCAATATTCTAAGTAACGAATACATTTTTAACTAGCAGAATAATAATGCACCACGATGCACATATTGGACTGCTTGTATGTTGTGAGAAATGTGTGTGATCTGTGTTATGTACTTGCATACATGCTCTAAACCAATTGCCCCTTGTGAGATTAATAAAGTTGATAAAAAAGTAAATAGTGTCACTTTTAGTTACATCTTAACTATTATAATATTTCGAAGGGCAAAAACATGAACTTTAACCATTGGCTTTACTTTTTCAATTCAGCGCGAGGGTAGTAGCACATAGCATTAGTACCTCAGCTCCACCCGCGTCCCGCCTCTTTGCTCATTTTAATTTATCTGGTAGTGACGAGAGGTGATGCAATGCTAAGATGGCGACGGCCGGCCCCGCCCACTTTAGGCTTCAAAAATGCTCTCCAGAAACCTATGGGTGACGTCACGGATACTACGTCCATATTTTTTACAGTCTATGGCCTCGACTGAAGAAGCGTGCAGGTGTTGAAGGTGTGCCTCCTCTAAAAGTGTCCGCCGTTCAGGTGAAACGGGTGAAAACAGTATGCTATTTTTTTTTTACCCGCCACGGTGGCCGGTAGGTGAAGTGAGTTTACCCACCACAACACAAAATCACCCGCATTTGGCTGGTGCTAATTTCCATCCTTGGTAGAGTTTAGCATGACTGATGCCCCTTTGCGTTCAGGACAAGTTTCTGTTGCTGAGAACGGTGCATATTCCGGGAATTCTTGGAGAGATGCACAGACTAAGGTCCAGAGATTGGAGGCACCCTCAGACTGGTTCTCCTTGTTGCCTCCAGTGCCTCTTTGACTCCCTTGCTGAGAGATAATCACCCTTTCAGACAGGCTTGGTTTACTTAGACTTCTGTGGTCCTGAAACCGAATGGTGTTCTCAATCTTATAATATTATGAATGATCTTTTAAGTGTGCCTCCTCAGTTTTCATAATTACAGACCAAAAGCTTGGGAATATTAAAGGGGTCATGAACTGGCTTTTTAAATTTTATTATATTGTTGTCTGAGGTCAACTTATGACGTTCGCTTGGATTTTACATTCAAAAACATCAAAATGAATAAGTAATAGGTTATTTTCTACCCTAGTTTTGAGCCTAGCTGATAAACGCTCGTTCTTAATGGGCGGCTTGCACTGAAGTCATGGAAGTAAACGCCCACTGCTGTGAGTGGATAACAGTTTTGCTTATTATAATGAGTTTCAACTCACCCGTCGATGCACTTGGGGGAAATTGTTCTGAAAACGTCCAATGTTGTAAAATGGCAAACGGAATGATTCGCATACATGTTCGACCCAGAGTGTGTGTGTTGTACCATTCCTGTCGGATCCAATATAGACGGCGCAGCACCTTTCTTTAATCTTAATCGGTCAGCAAAATCCAGTCTTGTTTACAAAACAATCCTTAGTATAATGAACCGAACAGACGGACAGTGTGTCTGCTGGAACGTCATTAAAAATAAAGTTTATCCATGCAGTCCTATTGGAATCCAGAGGAAGCATATGCAGCGACTGTCTTCCACAACCAGGCACGGCACAATATTTTGTATTGCTCGGTAGCTCGATCCGGTTTGTCATCACCAATGTTATTTAGCTATGCGTGTAATACGTGAATCGGTGGGCGGGGTTAACGGCCGTGTTGAAGTCTATGGTTGAAGTAGGCGTTGATCTTCTTCTGCGGGGGTGGTGTTTTATCCTCTTTGACGTCATTGTTCCCCACTTTGAAAAACGAGTCGTTTGCTGAGCCTGGTGTCAATAAAAGCTTTTATTGGACTAACAAGGACGTTTTCAGTTCTGAAACTTACAGGATATTCTTATAATACAATGACCTCTTAGACGTCAAAAGATCAAGGAAAATTAGATTTTTCAGTTCATCACCCCTTTAAAATCTTTATCGTTTAAGTATAATATAACTAATTCAATTTGTTCATGTTGCTGCCATTGAAGAGAATTTATATTGTACTTCCATTAAATCATTTAATATCATGGGTTCGCTCCAGCATTTCTTAGGGATTTTTAGATTTACAGTTTTTGGTTTGAATAAAATACATTTGTGGTTAACACTTCTTGAAGAGACTTTCATTACTTACTTGCACGTACTTACACGTAAAGCTGTTGAGTGCTTTAAAAATGTAAGTTGGCACATGAGGACTAACTTTTGTTCTTTTTTCGGAAGTAAATACGGGGACATTTAATATTCAACAATATTATTGATCTGTGTTGTATTATTTTCATGTTATCACCATGAAGCTGCTTTGATACAATCTGTATTGTAAAAAGCTCTATATAAATAAATGTGACTTGACTAAATATAATGCAGCAAGCACATAGACTCACAAGCACCTAGACTTGCCAAAGTAATATGTAGCACGACATTGCATTTGTATATTGATTTATTCATAACTAGAAAACCGCAATTCAATCCTCTAAGACATTCTGGGATGTCCTGTTAGAATGTGAAGCCTGAAGAATAACTATAAAGTAGTCATAGATTAAATGTGAAGCCTGGGGTGAGGTCAGATGTTTCAATGTGTGCTGTGGGATGACATAGTGCTTTGTGACTGTAACACTGAAAGCTTACAGGGATCCTCCCTTAGCCTGGAAGAAGAACTGTTTGGTCCAAACCACACCCTGGTCACCCTGTTCGCGCACCTGTGGCATCGGCATCTCTGTACGCGTCAACAACAACAACGGCAAGTGTGAGATGAGAAAAGAACGGCGACTCTGTCTGCTTCGACCATGTGATAAAAATGCTCTAAAGGGACTGAAGGTAAGAGATCTATCCTAACATCACATGCTAAGCAAGGTTAAACTAGAAAATAAAATCAACATGGATTAAGACACTTGAGCGATACTTTACAATGTCTTTGCATTGTGTACCAAAATATTACGCCAGGTGATAATTTTCAGAAACGATCAGAAACGTTGGGGCGGGCTTTACACGATGACGACAGCACAGCGACGTGAAGCAGATTTTGTACATTTTCAAAGGGGTGTGACGGTTATAGTTGAGCACTGTCATTACAACTCTATAACCGCCAAAACCATGTTATTAAGATATTTTTTTCACAAACATTTTTTTATCATAGAGAATGAGGGAAACGGAGGCCGAGTTAGTGGTGCTTCAAAGACTGATCAGAGCTGACCGTTATACTGATCAGAGCACGTGCTGACACGTAGTAAAGCCTTGTTTATACTTGACGCGTCCGCACGAGCGCGAAGGTGCGCGGCAAAAATGACGCGTTCAGTGCGCAAGTCCGACCCCATTTCCCTGCTGGCTGTGTGCATGGCTTTTTTGTAGCGCCGCCGCGTCCGAGGATGAACGACTTCAAGCCGAATCTGCCCGAGCATGTATGTCTCACCCTTAGACAGTAAGCAGTTTGCGTGTCTAAATTGCAAAGTTCATTGCAAAGTTGTTGTTTTTTTTTTTTTTTGTTAAGGTTTTGTTTACTATGTGTGATAATGGAAAGCACATTCACTTATAGTTGTCTTGTTGTTAATTTTAAATAAACGTAGAGCAAGAAGCTAATCAGGGGTGCGTTTCCCGAAAGCATCGTTAGCCAACTATGGTCGCAAGTTCCGTCGTTATCAGCATAGCTCAACGATTCAGTGTTTCCCGAAACCATCGTTCCAACGAACATTCGCAAACAGCATCGCAAAGTTGTGTGGTTTGAACGACAGCTCTCGACCTGTGGTTAGAGGCATTGTTTCTATATTGCATGACATTTGGAGGTAATAAATCCTTATATTGAGCATAATGAGCAAGCTGACATTCAGTACAACCGGTGTCTTTTATTTATAATACATACAAATGGAATTTACGTCTTTTAGTTTAAGATTTGAAGTAACGTGTTTGAAGAGTGCGCATGTGCGAACGTGCATACTATGTAAGAACGAGCCAAATATTGAGTCTGGTAATAAAGCAAAACAACTGAGAAAAATTAGAAATAGTCCTCAGATGACATGTCTGTAATTTATATAAAACAAATCTAGCATTAATTGGATCTCAAACAGTTTCATTAAAAGTAGTTATTCCTCCACCACGTGCGAAACCAACGTGGTTGAACGATACTTTGCGACAGTGGGTTTCGGGAAACAGTCGTGACTAGCTAGTTGATTTTTCCAACGATACATCGTACTATAGTGAATCAGCGAACGGGAAACGCACCCCAGATTGTCTGCTCGTTTATTCAAACAGACGAACGTCGCTCTGCATACGTCATCTCTGATTGGTTTTAGGTCTATCCAATTGCGCCTTTGAGGGATTTGAGCTTTGTCCGTTGGTGACGCCCCTCTGAAAATTATTTGTCTATGAAGCTTTGCCAGACCATAACTCAGTTACAAACTGAGATGGTCTGGTTTTAACCAGGCTACCCGACACGTGTTGTCTAACTCCAATAGAGTTCAGAATGTCTTTAAATGCCAATCCCAATGCATCTTTTTTCATTATCTACATGTATATTAAAATCACCAACAATTAGGACTTTATCTGCAGCCAGTACTAACTCTGATAGAAAATCAGCAATTTCTTTGATAAAGTCTGTATGGTGCCTTGGTGGCCTTTATACTGTATATTAGCCTGCACAAATCTCAAACGTGATTTATCATTCACATTAGATTTCCTTACATTAAGCATCAACACTTCAAAATAATTCTATTTGAAACTAGACTTGCTAGTAATTATGGAAATATTATTACAAATTACAGCAACATTATTACGTATGTTAATGTTTATAGTAGTAATCTATATAGGGATGGACTCATTTAAAGTAATGTAATTATTTGTTTGTAGACAGGTTTCTGTCATACACAGCACATTTAGGTTATAGTCTGTAATCATATCATTAACAATAAGTGCTTTTGAAGTAAGGGATTGAATATTCAGCAACCCAAGCTTTATCATTTGTTCGTTTGTATTATATCCGTTTTTTTATTTGATGAACATCAATTATATTTTTACCCTTAGATGGGTTTGGAAGTTGTTTTTTTTGTTTTGTTTTCCTAATTCAGGGAACAGATACAGTCTGTATATGATGATATCTAGGCAAAAGAGTCTCTATGTGATGGGATTTATCTGACCTTGGTGACGTGAAACAGCTAGCAGATGGTTGGTTTAGCCAGTCTGTCTGCTTCCTGACCTGAGCCCGAGATTATCATGTTTGGGCTCTAAGACTATGTGCCATATTACTAGAGAGAAGAGCAGCACCAGCCCACAAGTCTCTTTTCAACAGGTCAGGTTGACTTTTCCACAAAACTACCCCAAAAACTTTTCCCAAATTGTCTATGAATTCTATATTATTTTGCAGACACCACTTCAACAGTCTACTAACTCTCATCCCTCATTTGAACAAGAAGGGGGGCATACATGTGCCTGACATTGTACTTGTGAGTTCACACACCCATTTAACGTTAATTTTAGTGATCTCCAACATCATTAGTGCCAACATGAATAATGGACTTAATCTTATAGAAGAGGTCCTGGGTAAGATTTGTGTGCACTTTATTTAGCGGAGAATATCTCAACTGTTCTAGACTAATATGACTCCATTGAACAACGTGGGATGTGTGCCAAAATCTTTAACTGGGACGAAAGTCCTGGAAATGACCACATTAGGTGACACTATAATGACACCAGAGGTGAATGGGACTTTTTCTTCCCTTTATAGATATCCTCATAAATTTCTAACAGATTAATCTTCATATTAAGAGAAATACGTTTTGTGTTACACTTTGTCTAAAAAATACAATCAAATATGCAAATGAGGCAATATCTCATTAAATATGCATTCATATAAACCCTTGAAGCTACATTTTCTGAGGAGATCACAATGTTCACAATGACCATGATTATAAGGTCATAGAAGAGTAAGCATTCTGATAAAAAGAAAATGGCTAAAAAACAGTCAACCTATTACACACATGAGGTCATTGCAGAACACATGGCTGTCAAACAAGATGATTTGAGATCACGAAAAGTAATGAAATCTAAGGAAATCTACTCTTTATTCTTTGTGTTGGCGTGTACATTTACAGTATGTGTCATTATCATTTGAGTTGTATTTTTGTGTATTTAAATAATTATAATGAATTTGTATCACTTTTATATTTATTTTGGTGTGTATTGTATCTAGCTAACAACAGTTTGTCCACCAAGTAAATGAATTCAGACTATTTTCTGTGGATGGTCATTGGTCAATCGCTTCTCCAAAGAAGTGACACATGAGAGTGACAGTGTCCCTGGATTCACAGCTGTGAATGCAGAAGAAATGTTGGAATAAATAAATGTGGAAATAAATAAATGTAGAAATAAATAAATGTGAAAATAAATGAATTAATAAATGTAGAAATAAATAAAAGTGGAAATAAATACATGTAGAAATAAATAAAAATGGAAATGGAATTAATGTAGAAATAAATAAATGTGTGAAAAAATACAATTATACATACATAAGGAAATAAAATTATAAATAAACATTTATTTGTACTTTTTTACATTTCTTTGTATATTAATTTCTGTATTTATTTATGTATTTTTGGTTTTTTACATATCTTCGTATATGTATTTATGTATTTATTTGTTTTTAATTAAGTCAGCTTTGGCATTCCATACACGCAAACACGCAATCATTATCGACTTCATGAAAGAAAGGTATAACACTTACACTACATGGTCATTGTGAACATTGTGATCACCTCAGAAAATCTGTAGCTTCAAGAGGTTTTATGTACGCATATTTAATGAGATATTGCCTAATTTGCATATTTTATTTTATTTTTAAGATCAAGTGTAATACAAAAAGTATTTCTCTTAATATGAAGATTAAACTGGTAGAAATGTATGAGAATTTCTATAAAGGTAAAAAAAAAAAGTCCCATTCACTTGTATTGTGATATAAGTGTCACATATTGTGGTCATTTTCAGGACTTTCGTCCCGGTTAGAGATTTTGGCACACATCACATGTGGTTCAATGGAGTCATATTTGTCTATAACAGTTGAGATATTCTCCGGTAAATGAAGTGCACACAAATCTTACCCAGGACCTAGACTATTAAGGACTAGTTAAGGACAACGAGCAGCTAGTGTTACTTTTTAGATTTGTCAAATTAGACAAATCTAACTTTCTTGTAAATGACTTTAGAAAGTTAGGAAGTCTGGAAGAAAAAATTAGATAACTAACTTTTAAGACGAGTCTAAGTAGTTTATGCAACGGGCCACAAGTGTTACTTGCTGTATTTTATTATCCAATGGAATGACGTGCGAATTAAGTATCTGAATACTTTATAAAGGAAATGTAACTTTTTTTTTTTTTATCTGCATACTGAAAACGGCAGTTTCTAATTCAGGGCAACATGATGTCATCAGCTTTATATAAAGATGGATTTGCAAGAAAGTAAAAAAAAAAAAAAAAAATACAAAACATCATTGACCTTTAGTTTCAGGTGTCAGTACTGATGTCAGATGACTCACAGTACTATATTATAGAATTCCAAAAGAGCTTAAGGGAAAATTACATCCATGAGGATCTTTTCTTCATGTTTTCATTGAAACAAACAGTCAAGAACAGGCGTGTTAGTGCCTGACACAGACACACAAAAGTCTCAACTGAAAAGAAAACCACCATAACCTGATGTTAATATGCACTTTTAATGAACAGGGTCCTATTGCACAAATAGCAGTTTATTTATTTGGAGATACGGTGCATAAACTAATCTATTTTGAAATTAAACTAGCTGTTTTTTTTTTGTTTTTCTTTTACCACCTATACACACATTGTAGTGTTGACTACCCTAATACGAAGTTATTGTAAAAAAAAAAAAAAAAAAAAAAAAAAAACGGATATATTTAGCCATTTTCCAAATGGTGGCAAAAGGGTTGCAACAATCACAAAGCTCATAATAATTATTTGACATTCAAAGATTGACAATAGGGTAACGGGTTGCCCATTTGTCAAATCAGCTTCCTCAGCTGAAATTTATGCTTTTGTCAAGCCAGTTTAAAGGATTAGTTCAAACTTTTGCTGATAATTTACTCACCCCCATGTCATCCAAGATGTCCATGTCTTTCTTTCCTCAGTCGAAAAGAAATTTAGGTTTTTGATGAAAACATTCCAGGATTTTTCTCCATATAATGGACTTCAATAGGAACCGGATGGTTCAAGTATCAAAAGACGGTTAATAACTGTTTCAGATGCAGCTTCAAATGTCTTTAAACGACACCAGACGATGAATAAGGGTCTTATCATGCGAAACGATCGGTTATTTCAAAGCTTATTCCAAAAATGTAACTTTTCTAAGGACAAATGCTAGCCTTGCTCTATTCTCGGAGGCGCGTTTGTAACGTCACGTAATACGTAATTACGTTCAAAAGGTCACGGGCGACGTAGCCGGAAGTACAGAATCAAAATCGTCCGACATCGTTGTTTTACCTTTTAGTTCCTTTTTTTGTAAACGGTGTTTGAGCTAGTTTGCACGTTCAACCTATGCGTTCAACTTGTAAACACTGACTCTGTACTTTCGGCTACGTCGCCCGTGACCTTTTGAACGGAATTACGTAATACGTGACGTTGCAAACGCGCCTCACAGAACAGAGCAAGGCTAGCATTTGTCCTTAGAAAAGTTACATTTCTGGAATAAGTTTTGAAAAAAACGATCGTTTCGCATGATAAGACCCTTATTCATCGTCTGATATCGTTTAAAGACATTTGAAGCTGCATCTGAAACAGTTATTAACCGTCTTTTGATACTTGAACCATCCGGTTCCCATTGAAGTCCATTATATGGAGAAAAATCCTGGAATGTTTTCATCAAAAACCTAAATTTCTTTTCTACTGAGGAAAGAAAGACATGGACATCTTGGATGACATGGGGGTGAGTAAATTATCAGCAAAAGTTTTTTCAAAAGTGAACTAATCCTTTAAGGAAGGTAGACACGAATGATTAAATAAAAATAGTCAATATTAATTCATTTAACTTTATTTTATTTGAAGCTATACTACAAACCAATCATTATTTTATTAGTTTTACACAGAGATATTAAGTATATTATTAAAACCAGTTGACTTCAGCACCCCTCACTTCATTATATGTCATTTGTGTATTTCTAAACTTCTACCCAGTTTCAGGATTTATTTATTAATTTATTTATTTTTAAAGGCTTGTGATTTTAGCTACTTCAGGTCCACATTTCCACTTCACAGATGGGAAGGGATACATGCTAACTTAAGTACTGCAAAATGTAATGGTCCATGGAATATTACTATAGGATTGAAACAATTGCTTATTTTCTGTAGGGAAGTGTTAAGCCCATTTAATTTGTGAAGAAACTATACAAGTTTATAACCAGGATAGTTCTTTATGTACTTGCTCCACCACAAAAGAATGATCAATTATATTTGAATATATGTTATATATATTTATATTTGTATAAATTACATTTATTTTTCTTTATAGCAAGAAAATTTGGACAATCAGACAAAGTTTCAGTTAATCGAAATCTAAATCTAAATCCATTGAAAAAAAAAAATCAATTCTTGAGTATTACAAGTCATCTGTGCTAGATAACAGCAATATAAATATGAACAGCAAAACAATATAAATACGCCGCTGAAAACCAAACATTTACATTAGCAAGGCACAAAAAAGGAATGTATAAGAATCAATGAATGAAACATTTTCATGGGAAAAAGCACAGGCTCTGAAAGGGCAAGTGACAATCCCATCAACTGGACTGAAGCTCTGTCACACAGGCAGGTCATTTTTCTTCACAACATTGACAGACAATGCATCAAAGAATGCTGAAATTAATTATTTCTTCTACTGCAAGTATATTACCTGGTGAAGCATAACTTTTCCAAAGTTCTATTTTTGAACCCCAAATCATAAGAAATGAAAGTATTTTACTTGTAATCCTCTCTTTCATGCACAGATGCCGAGAGGGAAAACCTGCAGAGCGAAGTTTCAGGCCAGTAAAGCGGAGAAGCTTACGTTGTCTGGCTGTAGCAGCGTTAAGAAGTACCGGCCGACGTACTGCGGCATGTGCACAGACAAGCGCTGCTGCCTTCCCAACAAGGCCACAATGCTGAACGTAGACTTCAACTGCAAAGGAGGATCTAACGTACGCTGGAAGATGCAGTGGATCACGTCTTGTGTGTGTCAGAGGAAGTGTAACGGTGACGACGACATGTTCTCAGAGCTGCACTTAATATAAAACAGAGAAACAATGCGTATTAGTTTTACTTAAAGTAAGCTATAGCATATGCACAGTTTTGGCCAAAAATACACTATGCAAGCATGTAAACGAAGACGCAAGTAATTCACAACACACTCCTGTTGTAAATGTGCTCATGCACTTTTGTGCTGGTAATAAACCTCAGATGTCTGCCATTGAACTGAATGTGTTGGTTCAGGCAGCTCTACGCTTTTATAACATGTGTGGCATGGTTCATAAAGTTACAGTAGTTGACCAAGAAGAGGTAAGACCAAATGTGTTTTCACTAATGGAACTATCCACCTTATTTTTTTTTTTTATGTAGAGCGAGTTCAGCCATTTGTAAACTGCATGTGTCTGGCTTCCAGTGTCATCCGCTTTGTTATTTTTAGCTGAACAAAACAGCTGGTTGTGCTGCTTGATAATGCAAACTGGATTTCTTACTATATTATTTTACATTTATTGTCATAATTATAAACTAGTTTGTAGCACAAATAGTTGTAATGTTTACTGCACTTTGTTATTCTTCTAGTTATTTACCTATCCACAAGTTTCCGGGGGGCACTCTTGTAAAAAATAAAGTGGGTGAAACTTCCGGTGAGGCGGCGGAAGTAGCATTCCAATGGTATTTTGTGTGTTAGTTAGCGAAGATGCTAGCTGTTTTTCGGAGAATTATTTTACTATTTAAAGACGCAAATCTTTATGAGAGATGTCGTTACGGAGCTCAGGGACAACATGTGCTGTTCGCGGTTGTATGTATAACCGGACTAAACTAATTTAGTGGCTTAAACGGGATTGTTTTGAACATAAGCTATAAACAAAATCAGAGTGATCCTGCCAACGACTGTAGTTTCCATCACCTCCCAAAAGACGACGAATCTTTCTGTGTACATTTGTTTAAATTCTTAATATACTATAAACTCTATCAGCATGTGTTTGGCTGTTCTCAACTGATGTTACACCTAAACTCACGATCAAAGCCTGTGTTGACAGAATACCAAATGTGCCAGTTAATGTATTCAAGCAGCACATTCATTTATAATTTTGAATAAACTCCAAAGCACAATGACTAAGTGTGTATTTTTCATTTTAATTGTTTGTCAGCTCGCACAACTTTCTGTCACCATGCCTTGATGAGTATTGATTATTAATAATGTTATTATAATACTCCCAATCAACGACTGCGGAGGGTAAAGGTACTGTTATTTCACCCTTTTGAATTTCGTTGAGGTTGTGTTCCCACATCGTTAGCTAGTTTGGATCGCTATAACTTGAATGACTGTCAACTGTTGAATGAACGAGTGTCAAGCATGTCAAATCGCGCTTTGTTTACTTCCAACCGGAAGTCGCGCCCACTTTTGACGCAAGGCCTCATGGGGCGTAGGAAACTTGTGAATAGCAGCTAATGAATCAGAAGTCTCGCACATTCACAAAAATAGTAAAATAAGGTGGATAGCGTTCCTAGAGTCGACGCAGAAAGTGCAGTGTGTACTTGTGTTATGAAATGACTTTCATAAGCACAAGTGAAATTGTGTCTGCGTTCACATATTTGAGTAGAGTATGTTTCAGGCCTAAACGTCCAACTGTCAAAACAAATCAAAATCAGTGTTTTACTCTGTTGTCTGGAATATGGCAAGTAATGAAGTAGGGGAGGGCATTTTGTAAACACTTTAATGAAGCAATGTCAAACATGTTAAAACACGTCTTGCTTTAACTCGGACTCAAATTCTCAGTCACGGGTACATGCCGAGATAACATTATCAAGTGAATTTGTAGGATAACAAGCTGACCTTCAAAAACTCAGCTCAGAGGTTAAACATTGATATGCTTCTGAATAAGTTAAAAAAAATTAACACATCTACACTACGCATTATCCTGGAGTGAAGCTCATCCAACTAGAGGTGACTCTGAAAACAGAAACCGTGCCAAAAGCAAGGTCTATAATGGAATAACCAGAGAAAGCCATCTTTTAGCATTCCTATTCATGTTCAACTGCATACATATTCATGAAGCGAAAATATATTTTTCATAGCTCAAGGTCTGAACAGAGGACAAGATAAAAGTTATTTAAAACAGAGCATTAACGTGGTGTATAAGGGGAAAGCTATTATTAATATAAATAATATATTCAGGTGCAAACTGAAGTCAAGAGTCGAATGAACCGGGACAGCATACACTCCCATCGGTAGCAAATGCGCATTTGCATAGAGCTGAACTCTTTTCAACTTTGAAACAATTCATCAACTCTCATTGAATATGATTGACTTCCAGAAAATTAGTCATTTCTTACCAGTTTTGTATCTTGACGGTGCTGTTAAAAGACCAAATTCAACATACACCTTAAGTGTTCTTCCATAGAAAATCCTTATAGAGGAAATAAGGTCAACTCCGTCGCAAAACCTTTGGTCTAAAAACACTTTGGTAACCTATTCAACCGTTCTCTGAGATTTGTTTTCATGATAATCGACTGTAAAGAGTTTTATCTCTAAAAATTGTGTACCGTATAACGCTATAGGGCATAGAGTAATAAAACTAGTGGTATTAACTAGCGATTTTTATTTTTCATTACTCTATGCCCTATATACTAGCGTTATATGCTACACAGTTTTTAGAGATAAAACTCTTTACATTCGATTATCATGAAAATAAAGCTCAGAGAACGTTCGACTAGGTACTAACATGTTATTAGACCAAAGGTTCGTTTTGCGACGGAATTGTCCTTTAAAGGGTTAGTTCACCCAAAAATGAAAATTAAGTAATTAATTACTCACCCCCATGCTGTACCAACCCCGTAAGACCTTCGTTCGTCTTCGGAACACAAATGAAGATATTTTTGATTAAATTTGAGAGCTGTATAACTACCACATAGACTGCCTAAGGGACTGGCTCTTGACGGCCCAGAAAGTCAATGAAGAAAATGTTTAAATATTCCATGTGACTACAGTGCGAAAAAACAAACAAAAATAACGACTTTATTCGACTATTCTTTTTCTTCCTTGTTGCCCTGAGACGAGACTTCAATACGATTTCCACGACGCATGCGCGAGAATTGCGATCTCCTTTAACTACATTAGTTCAGTTCTCGCGCATGCGTCGTGGAAATCGTATGGAAGTCTCGTTTCAGGTCAACAAGGAAGAAAGGAATAGTCGTTTTTTCGCACAAAAAGTATTCTCGTCGCTTGATAAACTTATAGTTGAGCCACTGTAGTCACATGGAATATTTAAACATTTTCTTCATTGACTTTCTGGGCCGTCAAGAGCCAGTCCCTTAGGCAGTCTATGTGGTAGTTATACAGCTTTCAAATTTAATCAAAAATATCTTCATTTGTGTTCCGAAGACCGAAGGTACAGCATGGGGGCGAGTAATTAATGACTCAATTTTCATTTTTGGGTGAACTAACCCTTTAAGGATGTCGTGCTGTTTGGAGTGATTGAAATACTGTGGCAGGATTTGTTTATGGATCACAGGTGTGCAGAACTTGCTTTTCTGTTCACATATATTTGAGAGGTGATCTTAATATTCATGGCTTGTAACAGATTGATAACTGACAGGCCTGTGTTGCAGTTGTAGGGGTCTTTTGCTCTCCAGGTCTCTGTGCCAGTCATAAGAATGAAAACTATGAAACAACTAGTCTTTAGTCTAATTTCAAATTACATGATGAAAATTGTAGTCAGTAATGTAAACTATATTACTCATTTAAGGTAATATATTCAGACTACTTTTAAATTACTTTTGATCGAACTTGTTTAAAATCTCAGGGGTCTCCAAAAAAATATTTTAGGTCAAAGGGGTTTGTCTGACTAAAAAAAAAAAAAAAAAAAAAAAAAAAAAAAGTTTGGGAATCCCTGCATTACATGAACAAATAATAATAAACACGAAAACAGCAATGACATTTCACATTCTATGCTTTCAGGGATTAGTAGTTCTACATTGCGAATATAGTCAAAGCTAAATGGTATGACACAATCAGTTTTTGTAGAAAATAAAATAAAAGAATAATTAGTGAGAATGAATAAATTATGAATAATTTACTGCCAGTGTGTGAATCTAAATATGTAAATCATATAATCCATAAAAAGTAACACTAATCTGATTATGAGCATTTTAAAACATACTGTAAAATAATCTAATTACAAGTACTACATTTTTTTTAAATCTGATTACGCAATCCATTTTACATCACTGTCAGTATGTTAAAGGACATTACATTTAAGACCTTTTATGACTTTATGCAAGAATTTAAGATTGATTTTAATTAAAAACCCATGAGGCAAACCCTTCTGAATGAATGATCATAGTGATGTGAAAACAAGTGTAAAGTAAAAATACAGCTAACCATCTGCCAACAAATGAGGATGAGAGTTTGACAGTGCCAATGACAAGACTAAAGTATTGACTGTGTATGTTGAGAGGCATTTCTTGTGTTTTACTGAAGTGTAATGAAAAATGAATCTGTGTTTCCTTCTATTAAAACTACATTATTCAGGCAATGTTTGATATTATGACTATTTGTTAACTTTTTCATTAAAAAAAAAAAAAAAAATTAGTATCATTTTACAGGTGAAGAGCTAATATTACGTGGATGGGCAATCCCGGCCCTGGAGTGCTTCTGTCCCACAGAGATGAGGTCTAACCCTAATTCAACACCTTTAAAAAAAAAAACAATCGAGCCAATGTAATTACTTGATAATTACAGGTAGGTTTTTTACAATTAGGGAAGGAGCTCAACTCTGCAGTACCAGAAGTGATCCACAGATCCACTCCACATTCACACCACTGGTTGAGCTAATGTTTCTATGTCTCTACGACAAGAAAATATAGGTCCAGAAGTACGAAAGTATTATTTATTTATATTTTTGTCTAGTATCAAAGGCCTGTTCTGGAGGTAATTGTTTCTCATTGGGCCGTAAGGTATTCTCAACCTTTTCAGGGGCTGGCTGCTGACTTTATTGCTGTTCGAATCTAGAATGTCAGTGTTTTTCTCCCACCACAAGCTCAAAAATTCACGGACAAATTACCTATTGTTATTTTGATAAACACAAGGTCGTGTGGATTTTTAATTGCTCCACATCACTAAGTTTACAAGAAGAGATCAATTCAAAATTTACTGTTAAAATCCTTTTTGTCCACTGCCGAGCACCATAGGATAACAATTGTGCTCTGCTCTAATTTGGCTACATTTTAAAGGGGTCATGAACTGGCTTTTTAAATGTTATTATATTGTTGTCTGAGGTCAACTTAAGACGTCCGCTTGGTTTTTGCATTCAAAAACATCAAAATGAATAAGTAATAGGCTATTTTGTACCCAAGTTGTGAGCCTTCCTGAAAAACGCTCGGTTTTTATGGGCGTGTCGCACTGAAGACTAGGAAGTAAACACCCACTGCTGCGAGTGGACAACAGTTTTGCTTATTATAATGAGTTTCACTCACCTGTCGCTGTATGTGGGGGAAAACGTCCAATGTTGTCAAATGGCAACCGGATTCGCCCATACATGTTCGACCCAGAGTCCGTGTATTGCACAATTCCTGTCAGATCAATATAGACGGCACATCACCGTTCTTTACTCTTAATCGGTCTGCAAATCCAGTCTTGTTGACAAAACAATCCTCAGTGAAATGAAGCGAAGAGACGACGATGTTTTACCCTCATCAGCTGGAACGTCATTAAAAATAAAGTTTATCCATGAAGTCCTATTGGAATCCAGAGGAAGCTTATGCAGCAACTGTCTTCTTTCACAACTAGGTACTGCACAATATTCTGTATTGCTCGGTAGAACGATCCGGTTTCATCACGAGGTAGGCATGTAAGTTAGGCTACTTAGCTATGCGTGTAATGCGCGAATCGGTGGGCGGGGCTAAACCGGCCGCGTTGAAGTAGGTGTTGATCTTCTTCTGCGGGGGTGGTGTTTTAACCCCTTCGACGTCATAGTTTCCCACTTTTCAAAACGAGACGTTTTCAGAGGCTGGTGTAAATAAAAGCTTTTATTGGACTAACAAGGACGTTTTCAGTTCTGAAACTTACAGGATATTCTTATAATATGATAACCTCTTAGATGTCAAAAGCTCAAGGAAGATTTCTCAGTTCATCACCCCTTTAAAGATTTAGCCTACTTACACTTTTATTACTGAAATGCTGGAAAGTATTTACAGAAACAATATTTCATCACTGCTCAAAGGAGAAACCAAAGAAAAGCAAGCATTTGAAATGGAAACAACAAAAAAAGAGGCTGTATTAACTTATTTCTGCTCTATTCCACATTATTTTTAATGACATCCACCATTTTGAGATCAAATACAAGACAGTAAACTATTTTAACTATAACACGTCTATCTTCCTATTTTTAAACAGGAGAGGAGACATAAATAATCATGTAATAAATAGGATATTATTTTCCTATTTTTAAATAAAATCTACATATATTCCAATTCAAAGCACATGACATTTTATTTACAGCAGACAACCATGCGAATGACCACATGAGCAGCGTGTTCCTGGGTTTGTAGGATCACAAAACTCACACCTCAACAGCGAATAATTCACCATCCGAATGCATGAGTTTAAGAAAGGGGTGCCATGCATTTATTTTTACAGACGTCCACAGTAGAAACGATTACAGTCCGAATAGAGCTAAAGACGGTGTATTACTATGAATGGGAGAAAGTACTGTGTGAAATATGGTGGAATAAGTCCCGCCTTCTAACTAAAAGAGCCAATCGCTGATTGGTAAAGTCTTAATGCTTTTTGAGCATAAGAAACAATTTTCTTTTAAATTTAGTTGTTGTAAGATCTCATTTGTGATTTCAAATATCAAATTTAATCGTAAGCTTTGTGAACAGCTATGGAGAATTTGATGTTTACCCATTCAAAGAGATAGGAGCTGTACTAGCAGGACTAAAATAGCTGCCCGAGAGAGTTTCAAAGATGGCTGCCATCTGAAATGACTTGCCTTGAAAGGGTCTTTGCTAGAATAGTTCAGGTGGCGATGGCGAGTCTGGGTGCGTTGGGCATGAGAGGGTGTTCCAGGTGTGTGTAGTCTTCAATAAGATCTGAGATAGATGATAGTGCCTCATTAAATCCAGCCAACTCCATGCCATCCACTGCTAGATAATGATGCAAGTGAGCCTGAGGGCAGATCAAACGAAACACCATTAATACATATGGAAACTAAAAAATAGGAATGTGAAGCAAAATATCAAACCATGTAGCTTTTATTTTAAATGGTCACAAGTTTGAGAGACAACACAACTATTTTTAAGGTGAAATGTGTAACTGTTTAAGACTACTTCAGTCATTTGGTTTCCCTGAAAAGTTTAAGTCCTGAGGCGCCATCATCCCAATCATGGGCCGGATTCGAATTGTAAAAATACAATTCTCCTTTACTTGACATCTTAAAAGCCCAACACATGACATGAAGCCATTTACTTCCCTATAAACTGCCATCATTGAGAAAACTAGTGTCTGTGCAATAAATAAAAACACAGAAGGCCATTATGAATATGTAACGTGTGATATGCTATATAGTGGTGCTTTGGGACACACCTTCCTACGGTAGAGTTTCACAAAACGTTCCCTTAGTTCAAGAAAGGTAGATTTCACACATGTGTTGTTGGCCAAGGCCAACAGGGAATGTGAGTGACACACAGGAGGGACTGAACACAGGCTAGTCTTCCATCCCTCCTGATTCCATGGGACAAATGGCAGGGTGGGCTTTAGCCTAAAAAAGAAGAACACAGATTATTCATTACTTCGAAATAGAGAGATGCATGTAAATGATCATGGATTATATACAGATCACTTCATTAAAAAAGAGATATACTACAGCTCTATTCCTACGTAGACAGCATTTTAAAGTGCCACAGGAGTGCTTCTAATGCAAAATCTTTCCAATCGTAGACAACAACAACCATAAAAAAGATGCTGCGAGTGGGTTATCTTTGTGTATCTTACAAAGATAAGACAGTGGATCTAAAGAAATATATATTTCATGCAACCTTTGCCTCTCTATCACTGCCTCTCTCTGTTTGAAACATAAAAATGCAATTTACTTTGTTTTTTTTTTGTTTTTGTATTTTGAGTAGTATTATTTATTAGTGCTTCAGCACTGCTCCTCTGCATGGATGAATCGGTGATCACAAATCAGAATGGTGACATTGTACATCATCATGACAATAAGAAGTGTCCTATTAGGCCACATGTGTCATACTCTGCTGCTCGAGGGCCACTGTCCTACAGAGGTTTTCTCCAAAACACCCGAAATCAAGAGAACCCGCTTTCTTTTTTGATCCTTTTCTTGTTCACACCACAACCTCAAAAGAACTCAGATCCCAGCTTTCTGTGCATTTTTCATGTGCACACTTCCACCTTCGACAACATCTGTCACACAAGCAAAAGCCGATAGGGGTGGCCAATATGGTAAATAATATCATATCACGATTTTATCAGGAAAATCATTATTTTAATCACAATTCTTTTCATGTTGTTTTTACTATTTAGCAAGTGACCAGGCAGTACATGTTGCTATTAAAAACTAAGCCTTGCAAAGAAACAAAATATAACAGAAATATGAAAGACAGACCCTGCGGGGAAGATACAAATCTTTATTTAATTATTTTATCTTTGTTATTAAAAAAAGAACGAAACTGCACATTACAAATACAAAACATACTAACAGCACCATTGAAACACGAAATTGAATAAACCCATGTAAAAAATTAAATGCTAGACTTCATTGTAAAAATTATACATGGACACTTATTTAAGCTACTAAATTTTTCAGTAGCCCCTTTTCCACCAAAGCATTTTGAGAGCCGTTTCGGAGCCGGTGCATGCACGCGAACCAGTTCTTTGTGTTTCGACAGCCAAAGAACCGGTTCTCAGCCGGGAAAACTGGTTCCAAAGCGGCACCAACTCGGTCCCACTTTATATTAAGTGGCCCTAATACCTGTGAACTTACATGGTTACTAGATATGTACTTAGTATGTAAGTACAGTGTAAATACACATTGGTACATAGTATTTACAGCTGTAATATGTGTGTAACTACACATATGAAATAACTCACTGAAAGGTATGGGTAAGTACAAATGTGTAACAGGACATTAGTAACAACACTTTTTTTCACTAGAGTAAGTACACATGTGTAACAGGCACTATGTAAGTACATTTTGTAACAACAATGTATTTACACACGTTCTTCCACTTCCACACAGTCTTCAATAGGCACTGAAACTCCATTGAAATCATGATGATTCCGTAAGTTGTGGCCGTTTCACACATTGTATCAAGTGCAGAGTTACTGAGGAGTTACCATGTAACACTGTTAATACAGTGTTGCACAGAGGTTTTTTTTTTTTTATATATGTATTACTCGTTAAGTTGAAGCCGTTTTACACTGCATCAAGTGGACCATTCCTGAGGAGTTACAACGTGAGTAGACTGTTAATACAGTGTTGTACAGAGGTTTGGGTTTTGTATAATACACAGTAAGTTATGGACGTTTATTGTGCCCCCGTTTTACACTTTGTATCAAGTGCAGAGTTACTGAGGAGTTACCATGTAACACTGTTAATAGAGTGTTGCACACAGCTTTGGGTTTTGTATATTACACTATAAGTTATGGCCCTTTTACACTTTATATTAAGTAGACACTTCCTGAGGAGTTACCGTGTAAGTACACTGCTATTACAGAGTTGTACAGAGGTTTGGTTGTTTTTATTATACACAGTAAGTTATGGCTCTTTTACACTTTATATTAAGTAGACACTTCCTGAGGAGCTACCGTGTAAGTACACTGTTAATACAGTGTACAGAGTTTTGGTGTTTTTACTATACACAGTAAGTTATGGCCCTTTTACACTTTATGTTAAGTAGACACTTCCTGAGTAGTTACCATGTAAGTACACTGTTAATACAGAGTTGTACAGAGGTTTGGTTGTTTTTATTATACACAGTAAGTTATGATTGTTTAACACATTCTATCAAGTGCAGAGTTAAGGCGGGCGTACACGGTGCGATTTTTTGCTGTTTTACGAGCTCGCAGATGATTTTTTTCACTCGGGGGAAATCGCGTGTAAATCGGTTATGCTCGCATGTCGCGGCTCGTATCGTGTGCGAGGAAGATACGAGCCGAGCCGAGCACCTCTCGACCTCCCGATAATTTTTAAGCATGTCGAAAAAGTTCGGGAGCTGTCGGCTTGCATTCGCGAGGTGTATGCGGTTGAATGAGCCGATTTGTCGATCTATCTGAATTTGACCAATCGGGAGCTGAGGAAATCCACAGATGAAATACGAAAATGGTGTGGACTACTAGAAACACTGCTTCAATTAATGTTTTTATGATGACTTTGTGAAAGGTTAACTAAACAGCATCTGCCGTGTTCCTACTGGCCAGTATTTGGCATATTTCATTCTGAAACAACTGTAGGCTATGCTATTGTTTTTGATAGTGTTATACATTTCTTACAGATTCTTACACATCACGATGATCATTATAGGCTATGTTTGTATCCTCCTAAAAGCAATAACAGTTTGTCTACAGCCTAAGCTTTTTTTTATTAATGCCGACAGAACAATGTTGCCAGATATTTCTACGAAAAACAAGCAAAAACTAACAAAAACAAAGAAATTATATAAAAATCCAAAATAAGTTCAAAGCTTGTGTTTTGAAAATAAGATAAATATATTACGAACCACTTTAATAACTTCCTAAAGCGTGACATTAATCCAAAAAACAAGTCCAGATACTGGCACCTTTCCATTATGTGGATCTTGCAACACGGGATCTGGCACCCGCGCCCTCACTCTCACAACGCGCTCAAGCTCACTCAAGCCCCGTTCACGGCGATAGCTTCTCGGAGCAAAATGAATTGCAAACGCTCACATGAGGTGGTTTAAACGGCTAATTAATCATTCAGAGAGCTTGAAATTTATTTTTGAATGTGTAGCCTACCGTAACTATGTCCGTCCGGACGTCCGTTTCGCGGTGCTGAAAACGAGCCTATAGCAAAATAACCACGGCTTGTATCAATGTTTTATATGCAGTTATGAGAGTTTTTAGTGCGGAACTTTGTGCGATTTCTTCGGAATTCAGCAGGTCGTAAAATCGTGTCGTATATCACTGCCTCCATACGATTTTTGTATAAACGCACTCGTAAAAGTGTGCCTGGGCATACGATCTTCCGACCGTCAGAATTCGTACCGTGTACGCCCGCCTTTACTCAGGAGTTACCGTATAAGTACAGTACACTGATACCACAAGGGGAAACTTTAGCTGTAATTCAGCGCGAGTCCTGCCAGTCATACAATAAATACATGGTATACACATAGGAATTATCATGATTTCAGTGGAGTTTCAGTGCCTTCCAAACTAGTAACTACAGTATTGAAGACTGTGTGGAAGTGGAAGAACGTGTGTAAATACATTGTTGTTACAAAATGTAGTTACATAGTGCCTGTTGCACATGTGTACTTACTCTAGTGAAAAAAGTGTTGTTACTAATGTCCTGTTACACATTTGTACTTACCCATACCTTTCAGTGTGTTATTACATTTGTGTAGTTACACAAATATTACAGCTGTAAATACTATGTACCAATGTGTACTTACACTGTACTTACATACTAAGTACATATCTAGTAACCATGTAAGTTCACAGGTATTAGGGCCACTTAATATAAAGTGGGACCGAATTACATATTTAATTGTTTTTAAAGCCTTCTTGGTACATGAGTTAGAGATAATCCCAAAGCAATGTACTTGCAAGCGTTTCTAGTGACATACACAGTGACGTAATGACGTCATTCCCTTGGCGCTCTAGTAAGTGGAAAAACAAACAGGTTCTGAACAGAACAAGTTAAACCAACTCCGAACCAACTTTGAACCAGTACCAGTTCTGAACCAGTTCTTCTTGGTTGGAAAAGGGGTTAGTGAAGATCAGTGAGTGATTTTCTCTTTTGTTGTTTTAAGTAGGGTTTCTCAAACTCGGTACTGGAGGGCCACTGTCTGAGTTTAGCCTCCAACCCTGATCAAACACACCTGAGCAAGCTAATCAAGGTCTTCAGGATCACTAGAAACTCACAGGTAGGTGTGTTTGATCAGGGTTGGAGCTTAATTCTGCAGGACAGTCGCACCTCCAGGATTGAGTTTGAGAAACACTGAACTAAGGACTAGCGGCAGCATGTGAATTGTTTGGTTGCTGCCACTTTAAGAGCTCATGCAGAGCGGATAAAAACACGTTTTGTTTTGTTTTTTTTAGAGAAAATGTTTTCACACTGATAGCAAAAAATATATATTTAAGTATTTTGAGAAAGATTTTTTTTCTCAGAAATAATTAAAAATATATATTTTTTATGTTCTATGAGAAAAAAAAAACGTCTCAAATATTATAATTTGTTGCTATTGGTATGAAAACTTTTTCTCTCAAACATTTTTTTTCCCTCTCAGATCATTTATTTTCTCAAAGCACAATCCTATTTTTTAATCCGATTTTCTCTAAAGGCACAATCCTAGCTCCATACACATGCAGCTGGTTTCTAATGCCGAGTTCAGACTGCATGATTTTCAAAATAGTCGGGTCGCTGTTCTTTTCACACTGCATGACTATCTTGGCCAGCATTCAGTCACTGCTGTGTTCACACTGGACGATTGATCGGTGACAGAAGGTTTCACATTGCATGACTTTACAATAGGAAAAAAATCGCCGTCAGATTCTGTCTAACACGCTGCGCGCAAACTACGTTTCACAACAAACACACGTGAGATGTGATTGTGAAAAGGAAACAACGCGACACCACACGTGCAAGACCGGAGTTCTGGTTGTGGTACAGCTGGTGAAACGTCAAACAGACACGAGTGCTCCTGCCAAATTTCTACAAATTTTTCTTCCATTTATTGTGTCCAAATAGACCGAGAAGAAGCTTTTTTTCCTGAAACAATGCCATATCATGTTGATATGTGATCTATAACTCCTCACCGAACTCCCTGTTGCTCTGTATCTTGCTCTCTCATTGGCTGCCGGTGATCGCCGATGTAGTTTTCAGTCAAAACACTTTTCACACAGCAGGATTTTGAATCGAATTTAGCATGCCAAATATCTCACGGGCGTCGGCGACTCGTCTGTGATTCTCTCAGTTCGCGTCTTTGCTCATTCACACTGCGTGATTGTCACTCGCGTGAACGAGCACCGATTTGCCTGTGATTTCGGGTATTTGTCGGCGATTTCTCAAAACCTGTCGGCGAGCCAAAATCGTGGCTAAAATCATGCAGTCTGAACTCGGCATAAGGCAACATCCTAACTAGGGTTGGGAACCGAGAACCAGTTCTTTTCCAGAACCGGTAGTGTTTTTGAAAAAATACCGGAACCGTGCAAAATTCCTAAGTTTCGGTTCCTAAAACGGTTCTGGTGCGATATGAGGGCGAAGTCATGGGACTGGGAGTAGATTATCCTTTAGCGTCTCACCTCAAGGCGCAGACAGAGAGAGAGAGAGAGTAGAGCTGCATGATTAATCTTTAAAAGATTTCGATTCAAACACCTACGCCGTCTTATTTCGATTCAAACACCTACGCCGTCCTAAATGACAAAAACTTCACCACTGAAGTTGCGATTGCTTTCACATGCGCTGCATTTATAGTACACACGCGCACGCCGAGTCACGTACATTCAAATCTGTTTGCGCTGAGAGAGAGAGAGAGAGAGAGCAGTTGTCGATATGAAACTGCTTTATAATCACACAGTATCAATATTTATATTACACATATTCAAATGATTAACGTTACAGAAGTAGTGAGATTATAGTTTGAGTAAACATTGACGGTAGTAATCAAAACGCAGTCCGTAACTTTTTTGTGTTCAGAATTTACAAAATGTATACAATGAGCGAGTGCATCATGAATGCTTTTTTTCAAACCGTGTTTTTGTCTTATCTTGAATTACTACGTAAAGCCTGTAATAAGCGTTAATACTCGGACTTGTTTAGACTGGCCGGCGGATCACAGCCGCAGCGGGGTAGCCCAATGCCTGCGTGACTCGTCATGGACATAAACAGAGAGAAGTAGCTCCGGCAACTATGTTCTTCCGCAAGACGCATGCACTGCAGTTCTGTTTATTAACTGCTATTTAGGGCCGATTTATCCAGTAATAATTCAATAATTAAAGTCTTTATGAATCAATATTTCAAACCGTTTTTAAAAATAATCTGTTCTACACACATATGTGTGTTAAAGCATATTCTACCCCTTCTGAGAGGGCATCACTGTTGGAGATACAATAAAGGAGAGGTCCTAAATTATTCTAGAGAATGCAGAATTTTTTACTTTTTATTTTTTTTTTATTTTTTTGATTAATAATATGTTGAATTTGTTTACATTACCAGTCTGTTAAACTAATTTTTCAAGTACTATAAGAAATAAACACAAAAGGGATTGAGGATTTTTCTCTTACTAATATTTTTAATTGAATGGGAATCGGAATCGTTTGGCGGAACCGGAATCGGAACCGGAACCGGAGAATTTCTCACGATTCCCAACCCTAATCCTAACGTCTTCTTAGGCGCTCGCACATGTTCCTCATGTGAACTAGCTTCATACGTGTAGACAGTCAACAGCGAGGCAGATTATTAGGTTTTGAAGTGAGAATACAAAAGATATGGATGGAAAAAATAGACAGAAGAAGGCTAACCAAATGGAATTATGGGACAGACGTACCGCTCAATATTCCGGCGCAGATCTGACATCTGAACGTTTCCACGCAGCATAAGAGCACAGGCCAGATACAGGTTGTGTTTGGGGTCGGCTCTGATCAGCTGATGATCCTTGCTGAATGCATCTGAGAACATCTGATCCAGCCTACAAAACACAGCACAGCATTCACTTATTCACATGACGATGACATGAGACACTAAAGCTTCTGTGGCAGGATTTTTCAACTTCAGGCCTACAGAGTTCAGCTCTAAAGCATCGATCACAATCCAGACTTCCAATCATACGTATGCTAATGTGGGTAACAGGAGACGCAAGCTTGTGTTAATTTTTCATTTATTACTTATAGATAAATACTATATAACAAAGTTATGAATTAAGTAGTGTATTCAGATACGGACATAATTAGGCCTGAAAGTAAAATACCACTATAGTGTTCACTGTATAAATGAAATATAGATTAATCTTTGTTAAAACCGAGTTGTGTTGTTTGATTAACATTAAAGGTGCAATAGGTGTTCTGGGAAATGCTAACTTTAGCCTGATAGCATTGAAGGATACGATTCCGTCTTTACGGCAAATCGGCGTCCAAAGTCTTGCCTCCTCCAAAACACATGAACACACACAGACCAGAAGAGAGACGACCAGAGACAACGTTATTGGATTACATCATGTGTAAACACACCGATGAGAAAACTTTACAGTGAGAAACACAGTCCTATAATAATGTTTGCCTGCCATTCTAACTCGTGAAACACACTGATGACGTATGACGCCTGTGTGTACAGGCTGTGCAGTGGTGTGAAAACACACGTTGACTGACAGGGAACATGTTATTATTTCATTCGGAACAAATGCAATGATTGAACGAACATTTTACAGTCCTAAGTCTTCCACAGACGATATATATAAAACACATTTAGACGCTTAACATCATGAATTGTGATTGCTATCAGGATATGAGGAAACTTTCAATAAGCATAACAGAAAATGTCTCTGTAGACAATGGGCTCTATGCACGGCGGTATTTCCGGTGAAGCATTAGGGATGCTCGATAACTTCCGCCGATCATAGAGTCCAATGCAATACCGAGAATTTATATTGAATTTTATACTCCATGGTTATACTAATTAAACGTTAGTCAAAAACAGATAAAACAGACACCCCTCATTGTGTTTATGCTTCTTTTTAAAATTATATTAAATAAACATAACTATATATAAAATTACATCTAAACGTATGTACGTTTCGTTTCAAAGACGGGAGGACAGTAAATATTGAAGACTCTGCCATAATCCCATTTTCTCCGGTTATCCTCCGCTTTAATCTACACAACCGGAAATGGACGAGCATCCTTACGTCAAATGCGGAACTTATGCGTGCATATAGCCCATCACCAACTGCACATTTAATGACTAACGCCATGTCCACACATACTCCATTTGCAGTGCAGGAGCACATGGTGTTTGCAGTGCACAACTGATCTGCAACTGTACACCACAAACATAACATTTATGCATTATTTTTATTTAAAATCCAAAAGTTGTTAATAAAAAGGGTTTTCAGCATTGTGATTCTCTTTGTACACTCTATAGTTATAGACGCATTCACATTAAACGCGCTAAATTAAAAAAATATATATATATATTCAATGCATTATCGTATTGTTCTAAATATAAGACAACCCCCAGCCCCCCATACTTTGTTTCAAAAGACAGCAATAAAGAGTGTTCATGTGATTTTATACATTGGTTGGCGTTGTGAAAATAATGAATGCATAATAATCGTGAAAAACCGTGATTATTCCTCAGACTATACTGTAATCATCGCATCCCTAGTCCATTCAAACGCATGGAGATGCGAAAGAGGAAAGCCCACTCTCTGTGTGTGCGGCTGGGCGCACAGATCAGAGTGTGCGAGTACCGAATTGATGGTGAAAAAGGCAGGTGTAAGAGGAGATGAGGTGAAACTGGGTAAAAGTGACTGCAAATGTATAATGACAAACCTGCGTGGTGGTACGTTGACATCTGCAAGTGTGTAGAGAGGAGTTAGACTGGGCACGAGGTAATGTAAACGCGGGAACGGTACCAGGTTCATGGGGATCTCATTCAGATCCATGTTGAGAGAGCCCTCAAAACGTGCTGAACTGCAAGAAGAAATCGAATCGAATTAAACAGGGGATCAAATCTCTAGACAGAAAAAGAATCAAAGATAACAGTTTACCAGTTCCATTACTTTCTATAGACCATTTCACAAGATGTAAACGACACTGGTCCAGAAGCACTTCCTGTTTCAGTTTTTTAACACTACATAAAAGCTGGGATAAAATACACCCAACAGAACATTTAAAACTGAATCAAAAAGTTAAACAAACATCTTTAAGATGTTTTCTTGACATGTGAAATAAAGAAAACAGTTACAAACTGAAACAGGAAGTGCTTCTGGACCAGTGTTGTTTACATCTTTTGAAATGGTCTATAAACATTATTTTTATAACTACTTTTAAATTTACATAAAAATCAGCTTCTAGCCAGTAAAGTATTGATGAAGATTGCAGGATTGCAACCAAAGTAAAGATGATTGTGCAGGAGTCATACAGTAAGCACACAAGTCTGTTTTAATAATGCTAAGAAAATCTGCAATGTTTGTTTCATGGGTGCTTTGGTGTGCACAAATTTATAAATTATTAAGACTTCTTATTTGGTTATTTGGTCTCCTTTTGGAAAATGACCTTTTTGGAAATACACCACAACTTTCCTTTGGTTTACATTGCTGGATATAGCAGCAAAAAATGACTAAATAAAAGTGTTAAACAAGTTAAATGGTGTATGCTTAATTTCAAGATAAGTGTGTGTGACTTAACTCTCACTGTCCCACAGGTGGGACGCTTGCCATTATATTTTTAAAAACAATAATATCTTAGTAAATACCTTAAATAATATTGACAAACTATATATCATTTGAAAGCTTACAATCTCTAGTTTCCATATTTGGTGACTGATTTTCAAAATATATTACAGAGGAGCCATCATTTATCAATATGCAACAAGAATATTTTCATACTCATTAGGCGTGTTCAGACCTTTATTTTAAAATTGCAGTAAACATGAAAAATCATGAAAAAATGGTAGATACCTCAGTTTGTTTTCATGCCAAAAGTTCAAAAGATAGAATCCATTCAATTATTTTGGAAAAAAAGGTCTGAAAAGTTTGAAATATCAAGAAAAAAATAATAAATTCACCATTTGTGACATGGCAGCTAGCTATGACTTACATTCGTGTTCTTTGTATGTTTCTTAGAGGTTCAATTCATTTCAAAATCTGCCAAACTTCCCATAGTACTTCTGAATAGGATCTCTACTTCAGAAATTGTATGAAAATTGTGAAAATAATGGTTCATATCACTCAAAACACGAATGGAAATGCAGGCGCCCTTATATGGGCAGTAATGGAGTCTGGTTGAGCCCTAGTGAAAAAGTTTGGTACTGCGCCCAAACAAAATCTAACTGAAAGCTCATTTTTTTGAGATATCAACCTAAAATTTGAAACACAACTTGTTCAGATTTTTGGCTTTGATCTTTCTGCCGTTTTAGAGTAGCCCAGGTTTTGAAAATATATATTTTATGTAAAATATGAATAATTAATATTTTTACATTGTACATTTCCATAAACTCAAACTTCTATAACTTTTTTTCTGTTTCACTTTCTTAATTTATTTCACTTCTACAAAAATCTGCCAAATGTCTTCTTTAAAACAAGACCAATCATATGTCTATATTCCAAAGCATTCTTGAATTACAACCATTTAAGTTCGAAATGTGCATTTTCATGTCTATTCAAAAAGGGGGTGACAGTTAAGAGGTTAATCGAGATTAAAATATTGAATCTATAAAGTCAGGGGTGAAATACATCCAATGTCTATTAATCTCAATTATTATGCACAAAATAATTCCTGTGATTCCTCTATTAAAGGTTATTTTAAAAGGTGTGAAGAGCATTCCTTTTATTATGTACTTCTCTTTTAATTCCTAATGAAGGTTTCACTACACTTTCACTACTGCATAAAGCCCAAGCTAAAATTTCCCATTTTTTAGCACATGATTTAGTACCTGGTGATATTAAGAAGTAGATTGGCCACAATGTTGTTCATGGCATCAAAAGGTTTTTCGACCTTCACCACCCCTCCTTGTCCAGAGATGATGGTACAGTCCTTCTTGATAGTACAGCTTGGTTTGCCAGTGTTGGACATGTGCTGTATCTTACCAACAATGTCCACCAGAGACTAGAATAATAGTAGAGAAAAATAATTAAAATCGGTATGATCTGGTCACGCTCATGCCATTCAAAA